ACTGATAATAACATTAATTGAATCTTCAAGAAACGACGCGACCAACGGCTTACCTATAATAGTAGTAGTACACGCACAATTTATATGCTCTAAAGAAACTTGCCATACAGGGTGATTACAGTTTTTGAAGCTAGTTTACCAAGTGCTCGGTAATTAGTAAAAGTAGATCGTCTTTTGAGACACGTCACGTTTCCGTAATGCACATTAAGTTTTTAGTTACTTTTAGGCATATCAGGGGCTTCACAAATAAAGAAAAGCTTTATCAGTCCTAGACGAAAGTAACCTTGTTGTCGCAAAGTCCCTGGGTATTTAGTGTCATGCTTACTCGTTAGGGTTTGAATCACTTATTTAAAACGTTTTACAACACTGTTAAAGTTTTGCGGTATCCAAGATAAATTGGAGACTTAATCTGTCCAAAAAAATAATCGAAAAAAATTTGGTGCATCTATACTTCGCCAGACGTTGATGCAAAATCAAAAACTTTTTTCGGTCTGTTTTTGGTCGAGCGCGCCTATCTTATCAACTGGGCTGCACGAAGCAGCTAGCGTAATCCTTGGGAAGCCCACTTTGACTCTATTGGGATCCGTCAAATGGGAGGAGCCTAAAAACATGGCGCCGATTAGGGAAAATTTATCGTAGTTTCTATAGTGTACCGTGCAATTTCCAAGTTTTTAAATGACGATAAAATGATAAGTATTGACACAATATGTGATTGGGCTGACACAAAGCCTCGGAAAGGAAATTTCGTTGAAGGTGAGCGTGTTTTTAATGCCAATCACATTATAAAATTCGGAAATAACAAATTCCATCAAGTTTACTGCCTACTTTTTACAAACTTCGGATTTAAAAAGTGATTCACGTTATATAATTGGTGAGGTGATTCTGAGTGATTTAAGCAATATTATATCAATGACTTGCACGTGCAAAGCCGATTTAAGAGAACGTTGCAAACACATTATTGCAACTTGCATGTTGTTGTATTGCAGCAGGTAGGTTCTTAACCTCAAAATACTTATATCGTATCATTAGAATTGTGTTAAATCAATTACACAGGAATAAATAATTTCTCACTTTATAATTTTAGTATGATTCTAGTTTTAAATATTAAGGTTATGGCTGATGGTAAATACTTGCTGAAATATAATCATGTGCATTAAAATGACGTGAACAAATTTTTATTCCGGAATTCACTTCTTTGATACCTACTGCTTTCATCCAAGCTTCTATTAGTTTACTTTTTCCTCTAATTTTCCGAATATATTTTTTACATATATAAAACGGTTAGTTTTTATTGGAAAGTAGTTAATGTAGGTGAAGAGTGAAGATCTATGTCTGAAGTGCTATTGCAGCTTTTCACTGAACATATTAACTTTTTATTTGATTTAACTTTAGAAGAAAACGTCGTCGACTCTATCATAAAAAATTTTTTACTTTTTTAACCTGTTTTATTATTTTAATAAACAGTTTTACAATTTGCGTGCACAGTTCCTATGTAAGTTTTTCTCTCATTCGAGTTATAAATTTTGCCACCAGATGGTGTATGCCCATTTGACGAATCCCAATAAGAACCTTGGCTTTTCCGGCCAAAATCCGCATCAGAATTAATAAGATTCGCGCTGATGGGTCAAGGTCGAAACGATCTGACTTCTTGTGTATATAATGTCAATTAGGCCGTAATCTATTCACGTTAAACGTAGCTACTTGACGATCACACCTGATACGGTGTCTCTCATTTTGTTCACTCGAACGAGATTTATATTCACCTAGTCGTTTTTACCCCCAAAACTTTCCCCCCTGTTAATGAATGACCTTGCTAGGCTTCTATCTATTCTATTTTGATGTTGTACAAATGTGCATACGTTATATATAAATAAATAATTACAACACGTAGTTGTCGCATAGATACAGACCGTTCGTTCGTTCGTTCGTTCGTTCGTTCGTTCGTTCGTTCGTTCGTGTCTTGTAGCGAGTCGCAAAGACACGGTGTTAGAGAGTAGTTTATTAACAAGCTCCGAGATAAGATAGAGCCAGTCGAACGGTGGCACAAATTATACACTTAATTAGTTTAATAAAGTTGCACACAGAGAGCACCGCTACTTAGTTCCGTACGTTGCGCCGCGCTGTCTCAATTATAACCTATCAACCTGCTAAGTCATTGAAAATTGTTCTTCACGAAAATTTTAATATGTATTATCATACCTACCTACATATACAATGTATGTCGCAGCCATTACGACTGTTCTGCTATTTTCAATCACGCCTAGGCCGTTTAGAAAACCGCGCTAGTTTTAAAAGCGGCTACTTATTCGGTCATAATATTTATTTATACTGTGAACGGCAATGTATATAACCGTATCATGCATCTTCACCCGTCAATATCTTATAAGGCAATTTTTCATTCTTTTTCGATTTTCTAAATCCCCATCAGATCGATGCGATGGATCGATAGATACAACAATTAATCTACACGTATCAAGACCAGTATCTCTATGTCCAGTCTCTATGATGATAAAGTCATCAAGAAATAATAGCCTCTTATCTTCATTGCCATCGGAGATCCTTGTGCAATAAACAAAGCAATTTTGTCCGACTTTAATTAATGTTAATAAATTAACTGATCCTGAGAGCAGTGGCGGCGCTTGTACGTTTGTCGTATAAGAATTGAAACCTAACCTAACATTAGCCTATCATAACCTAACTTTTTACAAATATTCGTTAGATTACTTAGTGTAATGCCATAATCTTTTGCGGTTTACGAGTTGGACAAATTGATCCATTTTCCCTTGTTTTTGTGGTAATCTACTAGGAAAAAGCCACGACATAAGATGCAATTGTTTATAGAACGTGGTGCTGTTAATATGCTGCTGGACGTACGTAACTAGTTGTATTTCCCTTTTTTTGTCCGTATTCTGAGCATGTGATTCTACATTCGGAATGTACGTAGATGTACGTTCAAGAACAGGCCATTGTAGTAGTAAAAACCTTATAGGTAAACAAAAGGTATGCACAGGCGAACCCAAGTTTGTTGCGAATAAAACGTAAAGTCGTTTGTAGAACATACAAGTCTTATCGTCATCTGAAAGGTAATAAAGATAAACTGGGATGACGATGCTGCTGTTTGTAGCTCTCAGACGAGCGAACGAACGAATGGCGGAATATGTATCTGCACATTTTAATGCAGATTTATTTCTCGGATTGTTTTCCAAATTTGATCACAGAAAATCGAGAAATCCTGACTCTTTTCAACATGTGTTGGAAATAAAATAAACACGATTATCACCTGTTACACTTTGTTTCGGTTAGATCTGCTTACCTTACAACCTGGTCGGTGCGCGCTGCAAAGATTGCAGCCCCATTAAATCCGTATGCAACCATTTGCTCCAATTGTGACAACAAATTAAACAAAAAATAACCTAAATGGTGAACAGTTGTCGTGCGCAATTACCTTCAAATGCAAAATAAGGAGCTGGCGATCGCAACTCAACATGGAACGATAATAACAACGAATGCCAAAATGTTGTATCACCATCAGTACCTACCATACTCATATTATCTCGTTTTAATTTTTTCAGTCGTTATTCATAATCTTACATACAGATTATTGACTTTTAGCTTTATAATTCTCCGTAACCTTTTGCTTTACACCCTAGTGACCGTTTTTTTTACCTAAAAATGTTAAATATATCGCGGAAGATCACTATCATGCTTTATCGTTCCGCTTGTAAAGCAACCAGCAGGGTAATACCCGGATACTACCCATCTTGTTCGGTCAATCAGTTCAGAAATCATCATCATCATAAGGTCGTCAGTCCTAAGACTGGTTGGATACGCACCTCCACTCCTTCCTATCCCGAGCTAATCTTCGCCTGTATGTCTATCCCAACAGTTATACTGTCGTTAATGATGTCGATCGCGTCTTCGATGTATAGATTAAAAAGTAGCGGTGACAGTGTGCATCCCTTCCTACTATTTACTTCTCTACATTGCAGCCCCAGCTCTATAACTGCAGGCAGGTTGCTCTTTATACAAACTAAGTATCACCTTTTCTATCTCTGTAACTCATCCCTACATTTTCAAGTATATTTAACGTCTTGTCCCATATGATATTGTCAAAAGCTTTTTCTAATTCTACAAATCCTATGTATTCCCTCTTTCCTTTCTCTATTGTTACCCGTAAAGCTATATTAGAATAGCCTCTCGCGTTCCTCCATTTCTTCTAAACCCAAATTGATCTTCCCCTAATAGTTCTTCCGCCCTTTTTTCCACCCTACTCTGTCCAATACTAGCTGAAATTTCTCTGGTCTAGGAAGGAGTTAAATCAGTTAGTACAGATGATGATTTCCGATGATTTCCATAAACCACCGACTCAACCTAAATTCTTCCTTCATTAAAACTGATTGTTATCCATCAGTGAGTGACAGTAAATCGCCATCTATCTATTTCTGCTACTACTTACACTATATTGATTTATTAGTTTGATCGGTGAAACACCAAAACTAGCCACTAACTAAACTTAATGTTCTTTAGGTACGTATTATTATTCCAATTTTATAAATGCGACGTGGCGATCAAAAATTAATAGCAAATGAATGAATATATTACACGGAACTTTCTATTAGAAGTTGAAAGGCAGCAGTTAAGTGTTTGTCTAAACGATTCAACCAATAAATCGGAGTAGATGGCAAATATTTACTATATTATCCTGCCACTTGTCATACCAGGAATACCGTAAAGGTAAAGGCGTAAACCATTTATAAATTTACCGATTGACACCTTTCACCTAAAGACTATTAAAGATGTTTATCGTAGATAAAGTTTATTGCGTTTGATGATACACAATGTCGCGATAAAACCGGCGTTATCTATTGTGTGAATTGGTTCAATGGAATTTTTATTTCGTCGGTACTATGATAATGAAGGAAGTAGATATTAAAAAGAAAAATAATATCCACGAATTTGGCATTAAATTTAATTAGCGTTAGAACATTTTGAAGACTTACCGATACCATTAACTGTATGTCTCTGCTACTGAACCATCTTCATCTTCATCTTCTTAAACTGACCTGAAAATAAGAAGAAAAACGATATTATTATAGATAATAGCCGAGATAAAAATGTTTCGTCTCTCAGAGTCTCTGGAAGCGAGACTCGAGTCTCCGTCTCTCATCGAGTCTCTCTGGTGTCGCTGAGAGAGACTGTCGAAAAAACTGTTTAGCGTCTCTGAACGAGAGACTCGAGTCGCTCATAGAAAGATCCTCATTTCGTATCCAGTCTCTGAACGAGAGATTCGAATCTCGCAATAAGTGGTGTCTCGATAGACATAGTTAAAATTTTCTAAGTTCAACATATTTCAAAGATCCCAGTCTTTCTACGAGAGACTCGAGTCTCTCAATTTTTCAGTTTTATTCATTCAGTCTCTCTGTAAGAGACTCGAATCTCTGAATTAACAATTTTATCGTTCGAGTCTCTCATACAGA